CAGAGCAGAGATCTATAAGGGTAAGTAAGCCTACAAGGAGGGGTTTGCATCTTTTAAGAATGTGGTAAAAATGTCCTTGATCCCCACTTCATTCTGTGTACTCTAATGCAGGGGTTAGCTCTTGCCTATCTTCATATCCCAGGAGCATCTGGGGTTCAGTGGATAATTGTTTGCTAAAGGAATAAATAAATGTATTTTAGAGCACAACTAACTGGCCTTGGAGAATAGTGGGAAGGGACAGGGCAGGTCTTCTTGATGTTATGGTCTTTGAACAATATCTGGAAGTAGGAGTGAAAGGGTCTTTTCCAGTAGGTGAGAGAAGGGAGGAGTTATGAGCGAAGGAGTAGTGGGTACAGGCATCAAAGAGATTTGAGTGCTTGGTGGATTGTTTGTAGGAGATGGTTGCTCTCAATTGGGTTAATTTTATCCTAGCAAAAGCTCTAGTTTAGCCTGTAATCCACCTTTAGTAAGATGTTGTCACTTTTTCAATCCATCTCCACCTTTACTAAGATGTTGTCACTCCTTCAATCCTTCCCCACCCCTGTTAAGATGTTGTAGGTATCTAAGCAGAGATGAAACTAAGAATGAGGCCAGTCATGCTTCTGATCTGTAAGGATTGGGGAAATACATTTGGATGCTGACTGGATGTTTAAGATCTGTAACCAAGGAAGGGTCCAATGGCTGGCTTTGTTAATAAACTCTCTTATTTCCCAATTTTTGGTCTGACATGAAAATAATCTCACCATTTCAGGTTTCTTACTGCTGTAATGTAGGGTCTGTACTGCCAACCACTGGTAGATGAGAAGCCTGGAGAGATGAATTGGGCCTTGGGAATCACTGATGTGTCTGTCTTTGTAACTTATGAGCAGTCTTCAAAGTTAATGGTTTAAAGTTGGGCAGAGACATGATCACTATATAGGCTGAAGAAGGAGCCATCAATGCAGGTGGCCAGAACTTCTCATGTAGAGTTCAGGACTGCTACTTATCCATCTCCCATTTCATACAATCAGGAACCTAAATTCCTACTCTCAGAGTTGGAGAGGAGTTTATCTCCCAATTGATCTTAACAGCATCCCAGGCCAACTGGAAGGAGGGAGGAATCAGTAGGTGGCAGAAAGGAGAGTGGGTATAAAATTAATGTGGCCAAACTTCCAACCAATCCTTGGACCCTTAAGTGAACATAATCCAGGACTCCCCAGTGAGAGCTGGAGGCTTCTTAAAGTCATCTAATGGATCTTCTTATTCCGTAGATGGTGAAACTGAGGCCTCGTGAGGGAGATACCTGTTTAAAGTTCGATAGCATAGTCAGGGCTAGAGCCTCTGGGCTCACAGTCTGGTTTGTTATCCATAGCACTAAGTGGTCCTGTTTCTTTGGGCTTAGGGTAAGAAAAGAAAATACCCAGGTGCCACCCTCTCTGGGTTAGCTCACAATGCTCTGTCCTCAGTCTTCCTCAGTCACAGCCATGCAGCGTGGTGGAGCTGAAAGAAGGCAGGTATGGGGATGTAACAGATTTAGGCTTAGAGCCCAGCCTTCCTACTCCCACTTCTGTGTGACCTTGAGCAAGTTACTTAACCATGCAGTTTTGGCATCTGCACAGAGGAGATAAAAAAAATACCACTTGTGGAATTATTGAGGGGGATTAAATGAGACAGCACACATCAGGTGTCCTGTAGGGTAATACCTGGTGGTAGGCCATGTTCACTTAGTAGTAACTGCTGTTATTCTTTCACTCCTGCAGGCCTCTGTTCCTGCTCCCAGCATCCCACCCCACTGCCTGTCTTTGGTGTGGACCCTCAGGGACTGGGAAGGGGTTCATTCAGCATCTCTGCTAGCCAGGGAGTACCTTGGCTCATTTGGGTTTAAGGCAAATGCAGTTTTTAGAAAAGCAATCATGGATCTGGTTTATAGTCTAAGATTATATTCATTTGCTTTAGAAAATAAATTTGAAAATATCAAAAGACATGTGTGCATGTGTGTATGTATATGCATAATTATACATGGGTGGGAGGATTCTCTCATTCATAGCAGGGCTCCTCTGGTTCACCAGCTCCTCTCAGAGTTCTTCCTCTGGAGTCAGTTTTCCTAGCATGATTTGTGTTGACCTTCCAGGAAAGGGCTCTGTGCTCCCCACCTTCTTATCATCCCTGGCCTTATTGCAATGTTTCCTTGAGCTATGAGCTGAACCAGCAGAAACTTGGATTGAGAGCAACATGATTGCTGGATTTCACAGATACACCATCGATTGTAGGAGGTATCACGATTTTATGTACCCCCAAGAAAGGAAAGCACAGTGTGTTGTAACTGTAAGATCTGACTGGTAGTAAAACACATCCTGATTGTATAAGTGTGAAAAAAGGCACTTTGTAATTGATTAAAGGTGTTGTGTTTAAACACACAGGTTAACTGGGTAGGCTAGTACATGGCAAAAGGAGAACATACTAGAAGGACTGGTTCTCAGCTTCTACTTGGCTTGACATTGTCTTTTCCTTTGTTCAAGGGAACTCTTGCCTACAGGCTCTATGAGGGCAGAAGCCAGGTCTGTTTGGTTGCCACTCCTCCTCCCCCACTCATAGGAGGTATTCAACAAATATTTGCTGAATGAATAAATGAAATAAAGACCCATTATCAAAGATGTGGAAAGCCAAGGAAAGAAAATGAATCATTCATAATTCCCCCACTGTGGGTATTTTGGCTTATTTCCTTTAAGCCTTATTTCCTATGAATATGCTCTTTTATATACATGTAAACATAATATATTATTAGATTTAGCTCTGGGATGTGTTTTTGTATTTCTCTATTAATATGAATGAAATGATGAAATGAGATGATGCGGAAATGCTTTGAAGACTGTAAAATGTTTAACAAATACCTTATTATTAGTTATAATAATCAGAGGAGTACTGAAATGAATGAGGCTGATTTGCTGAGAATACACTTCAAAGGGAACCATAACTCTGCTCGCCGATGCTGGGAATCTGTGATTCCTTCACTCTGCTCGCCACAGGGATTCTCTCAGCTAAGAACATGGAAGACAAACACAGGCTCAAAGCTTCTTCAACACCACTGGTTCTGATTTCTTACTCAGCCCAGAAATTTCTTCCACACCACACAGAGAAGGCAAAAGAGATGAGCATGTCTCTCAGGTTGATGAACAGTAGCCCCTAAGAACTCCATATTCTCCCGCCTCTATCCATGAGAGGGAGAAGTCACACTTCATAATTCAAAGAATGTTCACTTATTCGCTGCTAAGAGAGAGGTGTGTAGGCCAAAGGCCCATCATCGCTGGACAGTGGTCAGAGGTACGTTTAGCAAACCAGAGTCAGGTCTACCTTGGGCAACAAGTCAACAACTTACTTGTAGGTGGTTTGGGAATTCACATGCACATTTGTTGTTCTAACCTGTTCCTGCTTCTCTGGAGGGACATGGACTTTCCTCACACACTGTAAGAGAGTGCTGACATAGAGCTCTACTTGACCAGACTGGCCAGGGCCCTCTGAAGCTCCCCTCTGAGGGTTCTTAACTTTGGCCTATAAAGATACTAACATAGCCATCCCCAAGGTGACACTAGCTTCTTAAAGCACCTGAAACATAAGGGTGTAAAAGAAACTATCTTTTGCTCTTGAGGATGCAGCCTCATCTCTCAGCCTCTGTGAGAGGGTAGGAGTCCAATTTCATTAAGTTCCAGTTAGCAAACCCAGAGGCGTTTGTGTGGATCAACCCTTACCTTCCCACTGTCCATAATTTTTTGCTTCTGGGCCTCTGCTCAATCCCTCCCCAGCCTCCCCTTCCTCTCATTCTTCCATTTACAACCCCTGGTCACCTCTGTCCAAATCCAAATTGATCTCCCAGCAGCCCCTGCCCCTGCCTCAAGCCCATTATTCCCATGTGCTATAGCAGAGGCCAAAGTTGGCCTTTACCAGCTACCCCAATGTGTGTGCAGGGCACAGTGATCACTATGAACACTTCCCCACAGGTGCAAAAATGGAGCTTGCTTAACAGATTCATGACCAAATTGTAATGCAGACTATAGATTCATAAAATGACTAAACAGCTGTGATTAGTATTTGATGAAAGACGGTGTTTGAGTCAAATTTTAAAAACCAGCTGAGTTCCTAAGTTATGTGCATCCCTGCTCCCTCCTTGCTTGGTTCCTTTCTGACTCTCCTTTACCCACACCTTGCCTTCACCCTGCCTAGAGCTTCCCCAAGAAAACTGTCTCTGGTGATCTGGCTGAGGGTTTTCCTGGTGTCCTCATCTCTGCAGTTTTTATTCTAGGCAAATGAGATGAGATGAGATGCAAATATCCAGGAGATAAGAGGAAGGAATGAATTTCATGTCTCTCTGCTGTCCTGCTTTGAGACTTCCTCCTGCCAGAGAGCCTGAGAGTCTGTGAGTCTCCCTTCTGAGATGTGAAACCCATTATGGACAGAAGGCAGTGCCAGCTCTTCCCTTCCCAATTGGCCGAGTCCAGTTGGCAGTCCTTACTGCCTGTGAGGGGCCCCTCCCTGGGCCACAGCAAGTGGCAGGCAGGAGCCCATGTACAAAGGTTCATTTCATTAGCTATGACAGGGAGCGACTCCTCCATCCTTTTCATTTTGTAGGTCACCGGGAATCGCAGCAGCGCAGTGATGAGACTATGAAACCTTGTTTAGCACTTTCCCTTAATATCCATTGGTGCAAAAAATTCTTTTTAAATTAATGTTCACAGAAAATCTACTGTGACAGAACATTATGAGGAAAAAAATCTTCAACCAATTCAGTGAAGAAGTCAATAAGCTGAGCACCTCCACATATGCAATTTTAGGAACCAAGAGGCAGTACTAAAGAACAGATGAAAGAGGTCAACCAGCATCTTTTACCAATTTTAGGGTGAAGATCTTTATGGAGCCATCTAAGTGGATTCAGATCCGGAAGCACGGATCTCAGTTCTCTTTCTTCCTCATGGCTCTGCAGACAAACTAGCCTGAGGACCACCAGTCCATAAGCTCAGGGAACTTACCCTCTGCTCCTGTGTGGCCACAAAGGTCTGGAACCCTGGAGCCACCCCAAAGCCCAATTCCTGGATGAAAGGTGGCTCAGACTGACTATGGATCTGAACTTTCACTCCTGCTTCGAACGTCGTTTCCTCTGCAACGACAAAGATGGACAGAGCCATGGTTAGTGACAACAGTTGCTTATGGAATCCTGGGGTTGAAATCTGGCTCAAGGGGATGCTGGGAAGCCCACATCACAGGCAGAATAATGGTTCCTATAGATGTGCACATTGACATCACTGGAAATGGAGTATGGGATTTCACTTGGCCAAAGAGATATTGCAGACGGGATTAAGTTAAAGAGCCTGAGCCCTTGAAGATACTATCCTGGACTGTGCAGAGGACCCGTCACAGTCACAGAGGTCCTTGTGAGAGGAAAGCAGGAGTATTGATAACAGAAGGAAGATGGAAGGATGCCATGCTGTAGCTCTGAGGATGGAGGAAGAGCCCTAAACCAAGGGATGTGGGCAGCTTCCAGAGCAGTGATAGTGAACCTTTCAGAGAGGAGTGCCCCAAACTGCAACCTAAAGCCACTTATTTATCACAAAATGCCACCACTGCAATTACACCTGCATACTGAGGTTTTAGTTTACAAAAACCCTAAATTATTAACATCTTTTGTCTCTTTCTGATCAATTATGCATGCCTATATCTTGTAATCTGAGCAAAACTTTGGAGATAAAACTATGCAACATATAAACATCTTTTGTCTTAAAAGCAAATAACACATGAGCCATAGGTTTACCACCGCTGTTCTAGAAGCTGGAGAAGGCAGGGAGGTGGATTCTGCATGCAGCCTCCGAGAGGAACACAACCCGCCTGGCAATTTTGATTTAACTGAATCTAACAAAACCCACTTTGGGCCTTTGGAAATTTTTTTAAAAAATCTTATTTATTTGGTACACGATCTTGCTGCACAGTTCAGACTCATGGTGATCCTCATGTCTCAGCCTCCTCAGTGGTGAGATTATAGGCAGGCACTACTGTGCCTGGTTTCGGTGGCTGGCACGGGCATGCAATACTTGGGATTGAACTTGAGTCCTTGTGTTTGCCAGGCAGGCTTTCCTTATTGGCTTTTTTTTTTAAAGACAAAAGATATTTATATATTGTATATTGTTATCTTCAAAGTTTCGCTCAGATTACAAGCCAGCTTAAATCTCTGAGCTACCTCCCCAGCTTGGGCCTTTGGAATTTTAAGATGATAAATTTGTGTTGTTTCTAGCCACTGAATATGGGATAATCTATCATAGTCGCAATAGGAAATTAGTTCAGGTCAACTCCTTGCCTCAGTTGCCAGCTGAGGATGGGATTACAGTGTAAAAGGTAAAGGCCTTTTCTAAGCCTGGCTCCCTTTGTTGCCTCTTGGACAGGCTCTTTGGAGCTGTTTTATTTTATTTTATTTTATTTTATTTTATTTTATTTTAGTTATTTATTATTTTTTTGACTTTTCTCTTAGAGCCTGAGTGGCAGGTGAGGATGTCGGGAGTAGGGAAATGTGATGACGCAGCAGTGGAAATGTGAGGACAGGACTTGCCTCTCTGCTAAGAAGCCTGTAACTTGCAGCTATAGGAGATGGATGACTACAGAGAAAGCTCCCTCCTTTCCTCCTTGCTTTTAACTTGGACAGGAGAAATGACCCTTGACAGTGAGAGGTGGCAGGGAAGGCAGTCCGTCTCACTCTATATACTATGATCCTAACTTGTCGAGAAGGCATTCAAGGGCCTGTACCAGCCTCTCCTGAAGTCTCTTCTCTGTCCTGCCTTCTCCAGAGTTTTCAGAATGATTTCCCAAGTGTAAACGCACATAAGTGTCTCCCTTGTTTGTAAGCATCCCAGATCCTCACCCTGCCCCAGTTCCCAGTCTCTCTAGGGCAACACTTCACCTCATGGCGTACATAGCCACACCTTCCAGGACTGGCTATGTGGTCCTTACTGGTTGCTGTTGGGCACACGAATGCATGTATCTCCTTCTGCCTGGAATGTCTTTCTGTATTGCTCACGTGGCCATTGCTGTGAAGATACAGTTCCCTGGCCCCACCCAAAGTGATTCCTTTTTTTTCTGTTGTAGCTTCCATGTCCTCCTGCTAGAGCTTCCGCTGCACCCTGTGACCATCGTGTTCTCCATCAGGCTGCAGCTTCCTGAAGCCAAGTGCTGGGTGTTGTCTCAGGATCTCAAAGATCCTGCACAGAGCCAGGCACAACAGGCACTCAGGCAGAGCCTACTGAATGGAAGGTGGGGATTTGGCGCTCCCCGATCAGGAAGGGCCAGTCTGGGTTCTCAATCAAGCAATGTTCTAAAAGAAAAGAATGAGGTAGGGAGGCGGGGTAAATGCAGGAAGGAATTAGAGCAGGGGGTAGGGTGGGCTGGAGGATGTGTCAGTGCTTTATGACCATGACTTGGGGGAGGTTTGGGGGATACACAAAAGCTGGTATAGAAGAGAAGCTGAGATGGAAGAGCTGGGTCCTGCCATGGGAATGGGAAAGACCCCCAGGATATGTGGTAGCCATTGAAGCATGCAGGCCTGGAGGCCACTTCAGAGCTGGTGAAATGCCAAGGGCTATAGTGCCTGGAAGGAAGTGCCTGTAGGTAGACAGGGTGGGCAGGGCTTTCATAATTCAGATAAGGAATCCAGAGGCTGAGATGGGGTTTCAGGGAGACTCTGGGTAGAATATGGCTTTATGAAACAGAACAGAACCCAAGTCAGTTCCTGCACACCCCCCGACCCCTTCTCATTAGTGTCAATTGTCCTGTAATTTCCTTACCTGGCCAACCCTGTCCAAACTCCTATCCTTGTGTCCTGTATGCCTGTGGTTTGGGGTCACTGTTTCCCATATGGTGAATAAGTCCACCCTCGGATGGCGAATTCCTCCAGAGAGGAGGGCATGTCCTATCCATTCCACTGTGCCATGCCTGGCCCAGGGCTGGCCCACGGGTAGACCTTTCGTGATGGACCTTAGATCAGGACTTCAGGAGAAGCAGGACTAGGTGGTAGGAGGCGGGCTGAGCAGTCAGTTTTCAGCAGCTACATTTCCTGACATCAGCCCAAGAGAGTGGATGAGAAGTCCAAAGAATAGGCTTGAATGGGAAAAAGGGCATAGAGAGAGGTGAAACTACAGGATGCCCATGCTGAGCAGAACAGAAAGCCTGTCTGTGAACCAAGGGAGGGGCTGGGCGAGGTGCCAGGATGTATTTTCTAGAGCTAGTTGAAGCTGTCTTCCTGCTACACAAACGAGCTTAGGAAACCTTATATCTAGTAAGACAGGCTCAAAGGAGGGGACCGGGGACTTAGAGGGGGAAAAAAATGAGAACTGAAACCTTTCTGTCAGGAACGTGGGAAAAATGAGCAGCCAGCCAGCCTGGAGTGACTGTAACGGTGAGAACCGCCCACGGCTAATCAGACCAGGTTAGGGATTTGAAAGAGGCGTTAGTTTATTCCAGAAGCAGCGGTGCCGGTGCCGGTGCCGGAGTAAAAGCCGTAAAATGACCCTGTTTCCTTACAAACACACTACTGTCTGATGAAAGCAGTGGAAGATGATGGATAAGGGCTCTGCTTTTTTTAGACCAGCGCTGCCCAAGAGAACTTTCTGCAAAGGAAGAAATGCTCTATAACCTGCGCTGTCCCTATAGGGGAGCCACGGGTTGTGCAGTGTGGCTAGTGCCACTGTGGAACTGGGTTTTATTTATTTATTTTTGTTTAAAAACTTATTTAATATTTTTTTTTTTTTTTTTTTTTTTTTTTTTGCGGAACCGGGTATTGAACTCAGGCCCTTGCGCTTGCCAGAGAAGTGCTTATTTCACTGAGCCATCTCCCTGGCCCCACTGAGCCATCTCCCCCGGCCCTATTTAATAAATTTTTATAGCAGTACAAACAGGCTAAAGTGGGAGGAATAACAACAAAAATGGTAAATAACACAGATATGAAAGATGAGCTTTAGTTAAAGATATTGAAAGTTAATAATCTTGTGTTTTCCTTCTCCTTCTGAAAATGAGAAATTCTCCTTTAGATAACTTAGAAGGAGAACCAGACAAAAAGACTAATAGGCTCATTTTATTTCATTTTAATTTGTTAAAGCAAATTGACATTGTCATACAAGGCTAGTGGTACCCTTATGGGACAGCGCAGTTCTAGAACACTGCAGTTATGAGTGGGCCCAGGCCTCTCCGAGCTGGGGGCAGGGGTAAATAAAGACACTACTCTCCTGCTTTGCTGAGCAGCTGTTCCTGTGGTTCCTGTCCAGAGGTCCTGGGTGACATGGGTGAGGTTCTGAGCACCCAATTGTATTTACTTAAGGTCAGACCATGGATTCCGGCCCACATCCCTGGGCCCTGAGTTTTCCAAGGCAAGGATTGCACTTGTTCTGAGGGTTTGCTTCTGTTCCTTGCTAATGTCCTTCTGTGGATTGTTCTCCAGGTCGGTGGTGACAGCAGCCCCCTCCAGCCTCTGTCCTCATGCCCACCCCTGGTTTCCTCCATCTGCTGGACATGGCACATTATGGAGGGCCAAGTCACCAAGCACAGACTGTTAGAGCCAAAGGCAACCTGAGAAATTCTCCAACTAGAACGCATATCACCCAGAGAGCACAGGGTCCACCCTGAAACATTCTGAGTGAGTCTCTGGGAGAAGCTCTGGGATCTGAATTTCAGGAATTCCATTAGAGGCTATCTGAGGGCAACCATTTCTGAGGAAACAGAGACCTAGTCCAGAGAAAGGAAATGACTTGCTCAAGGTCACACAGTGAATCAAGGGCAGAGTGTTCTTTCTGCCTCCACAGGAGCATGTTCCTGTGGTTCCTGCCTAGAGGTCCTGGGTGACTGGGGTGAGGTTCTGAGCACCCAATTGTATTTACTTAAGGTCAGACCATGGCTTCCGGCCCAGGTCCCTGGAGCCCTGGGGCCCAGATAAATCCCGGTTCATTTACTGCAAGTAGATGTCCTGATTTATAGGTCTAGGGTTGTTGAGGATTGAGGAAAGGGGACATAATTTTCACTGCCATTTCCTCTCAGGCTCCTAGCACAGAGCACAACTCCTTAATAAACCCTGAGTGAAGTAAATGAATGCAGAGTTGTCTTCTGCTTGCATGTAGTGCCCCCTGC